GTAACATCTCCAAATTCACAGATATATGTACCTCTGCAGGCCATTGTTACCAAAAAGTATTGAGCATTATTGATCCCGTACAGTTTGAGTTGTATTCAGTTTTTGGCTCAGTAAAAATGTGACTAACAAGATCATTTTAGCCTTATAGATTAGTGTAACTTTCAAGTATTGCTCAGTAAATATGAGAAGTTAAAGTCTGAGTTTATGAAAGTGGGGCAAAGTCAGAAGGGCAACCATAACAAACACAAAATAACAAATGAAACCACAATATTAAAATAGGTTCGTGTTATGTAGGGTCAAAATAAACTACGCAGTTGTCACTCCACTCGTGAATACTAACAAAAAGAGTCCATGTATCACCAACAGAAGCGCACCTGTCGCACAGTTTGAGAAACAACAGTCCAACATTAACCTCAGCCTTGATCCAAGATTGATTCTATTTGTTTATTTTACAGTGGTGAAGATTCAGGTTTATATATGTGACCACACAGACACTGACACTGACTGATTATACTATAAAATGACACTTAGTTAGACAATACAAAATTTTGACAACATTTACATTTTGGTCCCACTTTGGTCCTTTGAGTTTCAGATTGATGACAAAATAGCAGCTCACACTTATTTCTTAATGGTCAAAAGTTCTCAAAATGTTGCTTATACTAGGAATCTGAACACCTTGAATACAGCTACAGGTCAAGCTCTGGTTCTGTAGAAAGTCAGGAGTGTTTATTATGAGAACAACAGTCTCTTGAAGCAAAAATAGGGGTTATTTCGAAAATTGCGTCAATTAACATGGTGTTCTCAGAAGTCTAAAGATTAAAAGCATTCTTAAGCAAATCAAACGCCTCCAAACTTCTAATTCAAAACTGGACCTCTTCCATCCTCTTTGAACAAATCTTATCCGAGACCACCAGCTCCACTCTTGATATGAAGTGACCTATATTTAGGCTAATTGCTCTTCTGCTTGTTACAAATGCGCACACGCACTCACAGCCAAAAAAAAACCGCTTGCATGGCGAGGGGGCTGCTACACAACTGCTCCAAAACTAAAAGCTCTGCGCCGGTTTGGGAGCTGGGCCAGGGCTGTCAGATCACCATGGAGATGTGGGCTTCCATTGTGAGGTAAGAATTACTGCACTTGAGGGGCGCTGGCACGTCTACAGTCCCGGGCCTTTTCCATTCAGGACTGCCCCAAATGGGAACGATTATAACGCGCTGTTCCTAAGATTCAGGAATTTGTGTAAAGCTGGAAAACGCACGCAGTCACAAAATATGCAAGTAATTACACAGGTAGAATAAGCAAAGCCATGATGAATACAACTCAGCGTGTCTGAAAGTGCAAAAAGCTGTGAGCATTACGCGTTTTTTCTATGAATATTTACGCATCGCAGGTCACGCATTGTAACCTTGCAACAGGTGCAGAACGTGAGCGACTTCCGTAAAACTCACCTGTATCTAAAGTCCCGTATCACCACCAACAACATCCAAAAGCACACGTGACACCTATGAATGGACTGTACACTTGTATATATATCATATTTTTCACGCAGAGACGCGATAACTGTTCTGTAGTCTATTCCCTTGGAGGATATCGGCGCTCGGGAGACGCAGGTAGCAGCTGGAGGATTGTCTGGGAGTGGCCCGCCAAAGCTTTCTCTTTAACTCTTTCCTTTCCTCTGGCAGTAAGTCACCAAGCCGCTACAACCTGTTCCTAACCAGTTTTCAGACTTGGAACTGTCTTGCATGGCACTCAGGAAACTTTGCAACACCAAACTTGACTTGAATATCTCTTTTTTAAGCACATAACTTGTCCTCACAAAGCACGGTTATCCAAATTACGCACCGTCATGCAAAATGTTTAGTAGTAAAGTAAATACATACACGCCCTCTTGAACGAGTCGAAACTTCTGCAGAGTTAAACCCGGCTCTCTCAGATCAGCTGCTTGTGCTGTGGTATGTTAGAAACACCTCTTTTCCCATGAAAGGGACGAGCGGTCATTCATATGCTGATGAGCTGGCGCGGGTGAAGTCCAGAGTGAACCAAATCAGAACCTTTTGCAAAAACTGTGCCCAGACCATAGGCATCTGGGACAAACCAAATATATATAATCATCTAAAAGCTAAGAATATAATCAGTCAAAAAAATTACAACAAATAAGCTGTTTTCAATGAGATGGCAACCTCGTGCTAGACAAGTTTTGGTTACAATAACAACTAGACACTCCACCCATGAAGCCTCATATCAAGTTCCACACATTTTATCCTGAAGCAGAAACTTTGAAAACCAATATGCTGCTCTGTCTGCTGGTTATTATGTAGTCTGTGGAAATCCAGCAGATACTAGTGCTTTATTATAGTATTTGCCATGATGTATTATGAGAGAATTATTACAAAAGAAAAATAAACCAATGTAAGGTGTTATGGTGTTATAAAGATAGTGTTAAGGTGTTATAAAGTTAGTGTTAAGGTGTTATAAAGTTAGTAAGGTGTTAAGGTGTTATAAAGATAGTGTTAAGATGTTATTAAGTTAGTGTTAAGATGTTAAAGTGTTATAAAGTTAGTGTTATGGTGTTATAAAGTTAGTGTTAAGGTGTTATAAAGTTAGTGTTAAGGTGTTATAAGGTTAGTGTTAAGGTGTTAAGGTGTTATAAAGTTAGTAGTAAGGTGTTAAGATGTTATTAAGTTAGTGTTAAGATGTTAAGGTGTTATAAAGATAGTGTTAAGGTGTTATAAGGTTAGTGTTAAGGTGTTAAGGTGTTATAAAGATAGTGTTAAGGTGTTATTAAGTTAGTGTTAAGGTGTTATAAAGTTAGTGTTAAGATGTTAAGGTGTTATAAAGTTAATGTTAAGGTGTTAAGGTGTTATAAAGATAGTGTTAAGATGTTATTAAGTTAGTGTTAAGATGTTAAGGTGTTATAAAGATAGTGTTAAGATGTTATAAAGTTAGTGTTAAGGTGTTATAAAGTTAGCAGTAAGGTGTTATAAAGTTAGTATTAGGATGTTAAGGTTTTATAAAGTTAGTGTTAAGGTGTTATAAAGTTAGTGTTAATATGTTAAGGTGTTATAAAGTTAGTGTTAAGGTGTTATAAAGTTAGTATTAGGATGTTAAGGTTTTATAAAGTTAGTGTTAAGGTGTTATAAAGTTAGTGTTAAGATGTTAAGGTGTTATAAAGTTAGTGTTAAGGTGTTAAGGTGTTATAAAGTTAGCTGTAAGGTGTTATAAAGTTAGTATTAGGATGTTAAGGTTTTATAAAGTTAGTGTTAAGGTGTTATAAAGTTAGTGTTAAGATGTTAAGGTGTTATAAAGTTAGTGTTAAGGTGTTAAGGTGTTATAAAGTTAGCAGTAAGGTGTTATAAAGTTAGTATTAGGATGTTAAGGTTTTATAAAGTTAGTGTTAAGGTGTTATAAAGTTAGTGTTAATATCTTAAGGTGTTATAAAGTTAGTGTTAAGGTGTTATAAAGTTTGTGTTAAGATGTTATAAAGCTAGTGTTAAGATGTTAAGGTGTTATAAAGTTTGTGTTAAGATGTTATAAAGTTAGTGTTAAGATGTTAAGAAGTTATAAAGTTAGTGTTAAGAAGTTATAAAGTTAGTGTTAAGAAGTTATAAAGTTAGTGTTAAGGTGTTATAAAGTTAGTGTTAAAGTGTTAAAAGTTAGTGTTAAGGTGTTATAAAGTTAGTGTTAAGGTGTTAAAGTTAAGTGTTAAGTGTTGTAAAGTTAGTGTTAAGGTATTATAAAAGAAGTGTTAAGGTGTTATAAAGTTAGTGTTAAGGTGTTATAAAGTTAGTGTTAAAGTGTTGTAAAGTTAGTGTTAAGGTATTATAAAGATAGTGTTAAGGTGTTTTAAAGTTAGTTAACAGCCTAATTATTATTATTAAGTGAATATTTTATTTGTGAATTCTAATTTAGATGCATGAACAATAACCAATGATTATGAATTTAATGATGTTGTTTAGTGATGATATTATGTAGGTCATTGTTTCCCAAAGACTGGGTCGTGACCTTCAGGTGGGTTGTAAGAGATATTTTTCAGCCTTGCCTTGTCATGATCTTCATGTAGGTCTGCAGTATACAGTTCTGATCTGTGACCTCGTCATTCTGGATCAGCATTTCATCAGAATATCCTGTCCTCAGTAGGGTCAGTGTTTCTATTCTTATTCCTTGCACTATTACATACATGTGTGAATTGGGATTTTCTGTGCTCACAAAAACAAAGACAAAGCACAGAAACAGACTGAATGCTGTGCCTGATGTGCTGCTGCTGCCGCGGCTCTTCCTGCAACCGGACTAAAGCACACTACAAAAACACAGACAGGCCCACCTATCTCATTAGAAATATTCAAATGTTAAGACATGTTTTGTATCATTTCTAATATTTTTTTTAATGATTTTATTGACTATTTTGTTCCAATATTGCTGGTTCAATTGAATGTTGAAAAGAAAAAATGTCCAAATAGATTCTGGATCCTTTATTGCTGCTTCAATTATTGTTTTTTATTGTTTAAAACTTGAGTAATACTAATTGTTCAGAGACACAATCACTCAGTCAACAATAAAATATCCTCATTAATGTTCAATAATGTTGAAATCCACCTTCATTTTGTGATTTATGAATAATATTACTTGGGTCTTGGGTCACGAAGGTTTGAGACTTTTAAAATATGAGTCCCCAGAAAAAAAGTTTGGGAAACACTGATGTAGGTAAATGTATGATATTTGAATTATTATTTCTAAGTAAAATTGTTGTGACACCCTTTCATGAGTAGGTCTATACTACTACTACAACTACTACTACTACTACTATTGTAATACTATTGTAATGTAATCTGGAAATGAACAAACATGTTCTTAGCAAAGAAATCAAAGAACAATGAACAGGCAATATTTCATCTCTCTTTACACCTAGAATTAACCTACTTTGTACTGCGCTTTAGAGCATGTTTGTAGCTAAACTGCGCCATCTGGTGTCCAAAACATCTCACTGCATCGTTCTTACCTTGTTCCTGAGTGGTGGGGCTGCAGGACGAGCTTTTGTTTCACTCTTTTTCCCAGTTTCTTTTTTCTTTATAACTCCATCTTTTTGTGCTTCATTTGATTCAGGTTTAGACTCAGATTCTTGGTTAAAATTTGGTAATCCTTCTTCAGTAAATAGAGTAGGTGTTGGGGGGTCAGGGAATTCAAAGCTGTCATCTTCCATTGTTTCTAGCTTGTGTTTGACAGTTTGCATTTGCAGTTTCACTTCTTCATTTCCAGAGTTTTTTGGCTGTTTGTGGTCTTCAAGTTTAGGCTGAGGTTTAGCATACAGGCTGAAGTCACGAGCATCAGAATTTGAAGAGGATTCGTTTAAGTTATGTGTAAAACTAATACTTCGAACTGGAGGGACTTGGTCTATTGGATCGTCATCTGGCAGACACAATCCAAAAGTTGAAAACCTATATTTTTGTCCGAATGAGCTTCTCGGTGGCATCAAACTATTTTTATCTTTCAAAGCACTTTTTTCAGATTTCTCTTCGGTGCTGTTCGGAACACTTGTATCTTTTGCATTTTCTTTGTCCACTTGGGAATTCTTCATGTACTGTGCAGGGACGTAAAAAGGTTTGGAGTCCAGGTCTTTGCGCACGTGCCACCAGTACTCGTTGGTTTTGGCGATGAGGAGGAAGCTCTCGTTGGGTTTGATGGAGATGTGGCGGCCGTTTTTGGTGGTGTATTCAAACTCGTGCTCCACGCTGACTACCTCCATGCTTTACTTCAGATTTGTGGATGTGGGGTCAGATGTGGTCAGGGAAAGCTGTTCAACATCCTGAAACTGAAAAGAGGAAACATGTTTTAATTTGACTTTATCGGAATCAAACTTGCTGTCATGTAAATGTTTTCATTTCAGACAAAAAATACACTGTGCACTATTGTAATTATGCCTTATTTAACTCCAGTCTCTTGCTATTTTTGCTACTTATTTTGTATTTATTATCACCATTTATATTTTTGCTCTTTGTCTCTGTCTAAATAATTTCCCCTGTAGATCAATAATATTAGTCTAAGTCTAAATCTGTGTGATTTTTCTAACTGGGACAGCCACCTTCTTGGTTCCACTGAGATATTATTTTTAAATTATTTGCATTCTTATTGTAAGTGGATTTGCTTTTCAACTTGTACCTCTGACCTGAAACTTGGTCTAGAGAACATACATAATATCATACTGTAGAGCAGGGGTGTCAAACTCAAATTCACAAAGGGACAAAATTAAAAACTGGGACTAAGTTGTGGGCCAAACTAAATATTTACTGAAAAATTTCAACAACATCTGCATGTTTTCTCTTCTTTTGAGATATGTAATGTTAAACCTTTTCTTATTCAAATAAATGTTTAATAATAGTTTTGCTTAAATATTGAATCCAGAGCAAGTATAATATAAAATAATAATAACAACATTTTAAATAAATAATGTCTCTATAGTCTATCTGTAGCCGGTGGGCAGCTCTAATACATGTTTGATATGATCTCGTGGGCCAAATATAATTATATTGTGGGCCAAATTTGGTCCTTGGGCCTGAGTTTGACATGTTTGCTGAAGAACATTTGTGGAGCAATACGATCTCCATGGAGACGAGAAAGTGCTTGACTCTCAACCACAAAAGTTACTTAGTGCTCAATTGGGCAGATCCATAATGACATCTCTATATTTTTATCCAGATTGAAATCAGTCTGGTCCCCACGCCCTCCTCAAGCCGGACAAAAACGATCCTACTATCAGATGTTAAATGAAGGAGCTCATTGGTCACATTATTTACAAATAAAACCCAATTTATCTCACCTCAGGTTAACAGAATTTAGTGCTTCGATCATGATTTTTATATATTCTTTCCCCTTTATTTTTCCAATTAGGATGAGCCATGCGTGTCCCTGATTGACTGATCCACCTGTCAATCTCTCCCATCTAAAAACTGTGATTCACCGATGAGCAGACTCACATCTTCTTAAAGTATTGAAGAAGTGTGGATTCTGTATCCCAGGCAAAACATAGCGACCCTTCAATATTTTGACTGAAGGTGTAACATTCACACACTGCTCTAAGGTGAGAACGGTTCAGCGGTTACAGTGTTAACCCCTGACCGGTTACTGTTAGTGTACATTGGGCAAGACACTTTGCCCACATCGTCTTTATGAAACTTCAGTACAGCTGAGTCACTGGTGTGAATGGGTGAAAGAGTCATGTAGGTGCAGACTGGGGCCACGCGTCTGTCAGTGCACCCAGGACAGCCGTGGATATGTGTGCACCTTTAACCAAAACAGCTAAGTCAGGCCTAATTGGTGTATTTCAAAACTATATTCTCTTCAACTCTACACTTACTTTACACCCTGACTGCCCTAGAGCTGCATTTTACCCACTTTTGGTTTTCATTTTGATATTTAAAGCACCAGTATTACACTATTTTCTGATCTATGTGATAATGTTGTTTCCTCATCAAACACATACATGGAGTTGTGTTTTGTTTCATTCAACGTGCAAACAAGTGCAAAAGACTGTTCCACCTTGTGATGTCATGTGGTAGTACATGGTGCTCCACTGTGTTTTTAAACTTCACACACCTTCACTAGAATCAATTGGATGATTTTAGCCTTGGAATCAGTGGTGGAGTTAGTAATTTGAGGGCCCTAGGGGAGTTTGAGATTGGGGCCCTCACTATAATGAATCTTTTTTTTTTTTTTTTTTTTTAATATATTTATTGTCTTGTCTGTTTTTCCATTGTTCTTGAGACTTGCACATCTCTGTTTATTTGAATTATGGTGGATTGGAAACTTGTCTTATTAGTTAAGGAGCCTACCAAGCAGAGGTGGGACCAAGTCTTTGTTTTGCAAGTCTCAAGTAAGTCTCAAGTCTTTGACCTCAAGTCCAAGTCAAGTCCTAAGTCAAATACAGGCAAGTCCAAGTTGAGTCTCGAGTCACTGGCCCACGAGTCCAAGTCATGTCCAAGTCGTCTGCTTTGAGCTTCAAGACACTTCAAGTCTTTAAACCAAAGTCCCAAATATATCATAGATTTTTGCAGTTTATATAATTTTTAAACTAAATTGTACTTAAAAAGTCATTGTATATTTATATATGAGTATTTATATAAGAGTTGTAGAAATGCACATTTTTCCTTTTTAAATGTCTTGACAAGAGGGTAAATTATTAAGATCAAAGTAGAAATAATTAAGATTTAAGAGTGCTTAAAAACAGTTAATTTATCAACTAGTCTAAGCATCAGGTCTTCTCAAGTCACAGGACTCAAGTCCAAGTCATGTCCCAAGTCTTTGTCTATTTTATCAAGTCAAGTCTCGAGTCCTAAAAATATTGATTGACTCGAGTCCAGTTTTAGTAGTTTTATTTTTTTGCTAGTACAAGTACATTTTTGTTTACATCCATTACAGATGATGATTATTATTTTTCTTATGATTATTGTTTAAAAGCAAACTACTCTGATTTAATGTCATATTGAGAGAAAATCTAATTGCTCTGAGGCTTCAGGCGTTATTGGCACTGAGGGCAATTGGTTGGGGGCCCCTCCAAATTTGGGGGCCCTAAGCAGCCGCTTACTTTTGCCTAATGGTAGCACCACCTCTGCTTGAAATTGCCAGTCTCTACTTAACAGAGCATTTTGAGCTCAGGCGATGTAAACAGAATAATAATGCAGATTTACTCAAACATGTGAATGAAACAAAACAAAACTCGAGGTATGATTCTGACGAGATAAAAATAACAACAATCCCTATAGCGTTACGAGCAAAGGCGGTGTTATGCCAAGAAACAGACAGGATGTAGCTTCCATTTGCTGTTGAAGTGAAGGCTAAACGCCACTAAAGCAGCAGACTAAAGCTCTGGACCGCAAAACAGGAAGTCTGCACCGACTCAACGCAGCCCAGCATCATTTAGCAATCTCAGCTACACCACTCTACAGCTTACAACAATATGACTGGACAAAATACAAGTGAAAAATACTTTAAATGTCAGCATATGTGGAAAAGAGGATATGATAGTGGGTGTGCTAGTGTATTGTTTTGAACACTCATTTCGAGAGTTAAACAGTAATAGTAAACCTGAACTAAAATGAAATAGATTATGTAAAAAATTGTGTCTCCTGAATATAATTTACAATTCTCTAACTTTTGCAAATGTATATATATAGATTTCTAAGCAACCAGTGATGTCAATAAAATAATAAAAAATGCAATAACAATAAATCCATTCACATAATACCATTAAAAAGTAATTTCACAAGCAATTAAATGAATAGCCTAACACTAAAGCCATTACAGGGTATGTATTATGTGCATATATTGTTATTAATGAAGACGAGATCAATAAAAAAATGCACTTACCTTATTTGCCCTTCCAGTCGGCTGTGTCTAGTCATCTGAAGTCTGGAAAACAAAGTTGACACACCTAAAGGAGTTAATCTAGGAGTTGCAGTTATGAAGCTTACGAGTCTAGTCTACTGTCCTATCTGAATACGAGAGCTGCACTGTTTCCTGTTCTCTCTCTGTTCTTACCGATCTCTATTTTGAATGTGGGTGAGAGCTGACTGCACTCACTAAACCCACATGATATGGGAAGTCACACATGAACACATTTCCAAGTAAAGAATTCGTACAGTGTTTGTGTGGGGATCAGTGGGACTAGCAATGACTGGATGTAATGACTTGATGATTTGATGATGTTATAACTCATGACTTTTCATTCATCACGAAAAGAAGAAGCCTGACTCAACTCCAGTTTTAAATTAGATATTATTAGGTCCTCAGCTTTTCATAAAACACACGTGACAATAGATCATTTACACTTTAAAGAATCAGACAGCACAATTGTTAGTTAAAGTCATGATTGCAGTTGTGTTTTCTTTGTCAGTGTAGTAGTTATCCATCCGTGCATTCCATTCGAACCATTAAGAGCGCGTGTGGCAAGGCTTCCCCGAAATGTTACTTCATGACAACGTGTTTTGTATGACACATTAACTGAAAAATAACTTTAAATGTTTTGCCTATTTCTACTTTAAAGTGCTATATTGCAAAAGGTAATTGTGCGTGGATGTGGATTAATGATTTAAATAGTTTATGTAGACCTAGAACGCTTTTTTCCTCCACGGGGCTACATGAGAAACTGAAAATATTGTGGAGGTCCAACTCAATTCTGCATAAAATTTATTGTAAAACAGTAAATAGCTTTGTTTTGACAAGCTGGTAAGAGTATTTGTTATGACTAAACAATAGGGATGTAACAATAACCAAAATATCGTGATATTGTATCGTCAAAAGTCTCACAATAATATCGTGGGCTGTCACAATATATCAAATTACAAGTTCCTTTGCTTAAATACATGGTTTTATAGTAGTAACATCTTATAAACATCAGGAACTACATATCCCATGATTCATTTCAGTGCAGACAACATGAAGAAATATGTTTTTTATTTGAATTCTTGGGATTATGACGGAAATAATTCACACCAAAATCTTCTCAAGGTATTTTAAAAACAAAAAAGGTGTCCTATCTACAATTATATTAACCTCAAATTAATATCACAATAAATATCGTACTGTGAGATTTGGATATAGTTACATCCCTACTAAACAATGAAAAAATGAGGTGGCTTTACAAAAAAAATTCATTAAAAAAAGCACCTGTAAAATAAAAGCAATGCGGCTTTAGTCCATGTATGAGGTAAAATTATAAAACATGTTAATTTTGTATCTGAAATAAGTAAATAAATAAGTAAATAAATAAATGAATAAGAGAATGTTGATGTTAATTGAAGTTAATAGTGATGCAATAAGAGACTGAACACGGTTTACTCAATGCCGTTCCACTGTACAACAACTCACCCTAGTCAGTCATCATATCACTGTTGCACTGTCTTCCTATGACCTCTTACATAAAGCTGCAATTTTATATTTTATTACTTACTTTTCTATTTCATTTTGACTTGTTCATGTACATTTATATAATTATGTCTTATTTGACACCTGTCTCTTTTTGCTATTTATTTAGTATTTATTATGACTACTTTATATTTTATTCTTTGTTATTATAGTACTGTGATGAGGGAGCTGCTGCGCCCTAGTCTGATTCATCAGCTGTTTTCACTCCATACAAACCGTCTCACAACATTAGGATTCCTTCACTCGACGGTAGGCAGGTACTTTTTTTATTTAACCAATCGCTGCTATTTGGTCGTGATGTATGTAATGCGCCACTAACGGGGTTAACTGGTATATTCAGCTTTTCCCAAATCCTGTAGGAAGAAGGACAATAACATCTTTCCCATTGATCAAATTCACCAAACATTCTCTTTGTTCCGCCTTTAAATCCTGATTGGCTGGTGCCTGGACTCACACTTCCAGGGTTTTTGCGAACTGTCTAGTGCAGGGGTGTCAAACAAACGGCCCGGGGGCCGGATCCGGCCCTCCAAGACCTTCAACTTGGCCCTTGGCTAATTTTCTACTCAAATATTTTAATTATATTTTCTATTAAAATATTGGTCATTTTCTGCGGTGCTGAGCATAGCAGCGTCTCCAGCGCCTCTGTACATGGCCCCTCCCACCAGAGCAGCACAAATGAAGACTTGTCTCTTTCCAAACGCTCTTAAAGGACGATCGTTTTGACTGTTGACCGTGACACCCTCATCAACAAAATGTCCAAAATAAGAAAAGTGGAGCCGAGTGCAGGATTTTTCAAGTAAAATGGACTTATTCCTATTTGCATACAAGTTCATGTTAAAACATTGTGTTGAAATTGCATTTTTCTTAAAGTTTCAGGTTGTTCATAATATTATAATATTTTGTAAAAGAAAGAGTTCATCAATTAAAAAAGATTTCTGTAATAGATTTGTGTTTCTCTGCACAAATATTTGAATTTATTGTTATTTTTGGGGTATATATGCCATGGGTTTTCTGATCCGGCCCCTTTGGGATCAAAGTAGGTTGGATACGGCCCCCGGACCAAAATGAGTTTGACACCCCTGATCTAGTGTATTCCGATTCCTCATCTAGTCGCTGGAGAGAAATTGACCTCAGGCTCTCTCCTCAGGGTCACACTGACCTGAAGAAATTATTTTTTCCTTCCTTCTCTCTTGGGGCGGGTCAATCAGACCAAAAACTTTATTTTCTCACCTGGTGAGAATTTATTTGAAAATACATTTTTGGGTCTGACCAACCCGCCCCAAGAGAGCGGGAAGGGGGGAAAAAAAGTCTTCAGGTTAATGTGACCCCGAGGAGAGCGTGAGGGTTAAATTTAAAGGAGACACTAGGTGGCGCCAGCCTGACCAGCTGTGTCCACCCACTGCACCAGACTACAGAGGCACAGAGGAGTCCAATCTCCAACAGGCTCCTACAGCTCCACTCAGTGAGAGATACAGGACTACGCTCATATAATACTCCTTACAACTGTACAACAACTCTCCCTTATATTTCTATTTTATTACTTATCTATTTCATTTTGACTTGTATATTTACAATTATATAATTATGTCTTATTTGACACCTGTCTCTTGCTCTTTTCTGCAACTTATTTAGAATTTATTATTAACATTTATATTTTTACTCTTTCTCTTTATATTTTATCGTGATGTGTGAACAACTGCATCTCAATAATCTCACTGCAGACTTTCATACAGTCTTAACTTCCCACGTCGAGTGAGTAACACGGCCAAACGTTAGGTTCATTAAAAACCGATTTAGAGAGATCATATCCGCTCATATTGACTTTTCACACGAATGGAAGCCCCGCGTGAGCAGGGCATCAAAAAATTAGTTAATGCTCATGTTGTTCCTCTCCACGGAAATCTTTAGTAAAAGGCGAAAGATTTATACGATCTGAAGAGAAACATGAGTGCGTTGACTTCAGCAAGTCTAAGTGTGAGACCCCGTTCCCCAACATACACTTCTCTATCAGGGTTTCAACTCCTCCCCCTTTTTTCAAAGCGCTGCAGTTTGGAGCGCAGATAAAACACTAGTTGCTTTTAAACAAAACTCTTCATCTAGAACTTTAGAGTCTATTTGACACGACATCTGATGAAGACTTAAGTTTATATGTTCTCCTCCGTATCGTGTGGTTGAGTTAAAGTTATAAAGAGTTTAAGGGAAAAAAAAAAACACTGTTGACCAATGAATGTTAAAACACTCTGCCGCAATAAATGTGTTTTTTTTAGCTGCAAAAACTCAAACAAGTTAAGCCCTACTACAACAAAATAAAACCAAATAGACTAAACAGGTGAAACAAAGTAGACTAACGAAACTGCCGCGGTGCATGATGGGAAGCGACGCCTTTACTTTAATTAAATATAAAACGTATTATTTCTACATAAAGCTATCAATTGAGAAAACGATTTGTAATACCGCTTTTCATAGCCGACAGTAAAGTTTTCCAATTTTAGATAATAAAATGTATACTCGTGGAAAGAAGTCAAAGATCAGACCGCAAAAACTTAAAAAAAAAAAAAAAAAAAAAAAAAAAAAGGCACACGCATGCGCAGTGGACATCCATATCGCGCGTGGGTGGAAAGCAGTCTTATTTTGTATTTCTTTATAAAAAGCAGAAAATAGCATTGTTTAAGAGTATATGTTATGACTAAGCAATGAAAAAGTGAGGTTACCTTAAAAAAAATGTCATCTGTGGAAAGCGGACTCTTATTTTCTCGTTTTCAAAATAGTTAATGAGTTAGTTTTATGGTCAGCAGCATGACATAACAACAAGCATTTCTTAAAGATTGTTGAATGTTTATTGAGACACCACAATCGTTGTAATAAAATATGCAAAAATAAAAATTAAAGTCATTATATCATAAAATAGGACATATGTAAAAAATAAGAATGTGTTAGAAGTATCACAGATGGCAGTGATGTGCAAAAAACATGACCAATACTGGACAAAGTACAAAAACACAATTCTCACCATACAAACTAGATATGTTAATGTAAATAAATAGTAAAACAATAGATCCCTGCGACGCCCTATTTCACGCTATTTCATCTCAACACAAACATCTTCACAGACTAAAGAATTACGGGCTTTCTAATGTTTTAATTACAAAAAAAATGGCAATGTTTTTTAGCCCATACTGAAATGTTAAAGACTTGGTCCTTTCTTTTACATCCAAATATGATTGTACAAGTATTTTGGTCATCTTCTCAAATATAAATATAAGTCAATATTTAGTATCAAAACTAAGGCAGGTTTCTGTATTCTGTAAGTTACTATTATAAGGGTATTTTTTTTAATATAGGTTAAAGATGCATTGTGTAACTTTTCTCCATAGAGATGTTATTGTTTTCTCTGGAATGTTTCACAGTATGGTATTAAACCTTTCTATCACCATGGAGACCAAACCAGACCAAGTTACAGGTCAGATCTGTGGATTGGCAACCACACTCACAGTCAGAATGTCTGTTTTTCTAGGTATTTTTGAGCTATAAAACTACCTGTAATTGAATAAATGTAAGGTAGACCTGTTTAATGTCACATTGTGGAACATTCTAGGCAGAGCATTGACATATCCATAGAAACAAGCAAAAAAAAAAGTTACATAGTGCACCTTTAACATCTGATAAACTGTCGAATGAAACATTTTAAAAGTGTCTATGTGCAATTTCGACTCTGCTAGTTTGTTTTTTAAATAGCTTTGACATCGATTAGGTGGGATTGCTGTGTTCCTTGTCTTAAAGTCTTTATTCCTTGCAGTTTTCGTCCATGGAGGGTGAAGCGTGACCAGGCAGTGAGCTGGAGAATGGCACAGGTGATAGGCACAAATACCAACATGTAAAAACAGCCAATCCGCAGAGGGGGCGTCCCGGGAGCGGAGGCAACTTCAGGCAATGAGACCACCGAGTCCTGCTCAGGATGCCTCTGGAAAATGTCATAACCTGGAACGAAAAGGTAAATTCATATTAAAAGCTGCATTGTGTAACATTTCTAGTGGAGGGTCTGCCAATTGATGTCTCCATGGAAATGTTACTGCCTTGTCTAGAATGTTCTACAGTATTGCTTAAACTTAGCATCCGTCACAAGAGCGATAAGCAGGCTACAGATTACGCTACATTACGATTCAGATCTGTGGAGAGATGCCCATATTCACAGAAGAAATTATTGTATTTTTGAGGAACAGCCATACATAGAACTGCATAAATGCTAGATGGATATGGTTAATGGAACATTTCAGGCTAAACAATAAGTAAAACTTCTTTAGGGAAGTGGCACTAAATCAGTCTATGTTTACTACGAGTTACTTTTATTTTCACTCAAAAGGTAGGGCACCGATCATGTTGTTCCTCTTCATGGAAATGTTAACTTAAAGGCAAAAGATTTATATAATCTAAAGAGAAACTTGAGCTTATTAACCGGTAAAAGTCTAAGTGTGACACCCCTTTCTCAGTCTCAGGTTTCAACTCCTCCTCCTTTTTCAAAGAGCTACAGTCTGGAACGAGGATAAAATGACAACAGCTGCAAAAGTAGAGATAGTAACAACAATAGTAAGAATATTGTTGTAGTTTAAAGAGTCTTAAGAAATATATAAAGTAGGCCTTCTATATCAATTGTGTACTTTCAACTATACCTTAGACCAAGTGCTTTGTTGATAATCCTACTTCTGTTTCTGCTTAAAAGATGCACTATGTTACTTCTCCACCTGCTTGTCTCGATGGAGGTGTTATTCCTGCCTGTAATTAAACTTGTAGATCTTGCACTTCTTCAGTCAAATGTATTTTTAAAAGATAAAGACATAAGACAACTTGTTACTTTCCTAACACATAATTTATCGTAAAAACATCACTTGGAATAGAATGCATCACTATATGTAACTAAGACGACTCTCCAACTGTTCAAAACCTATATGCATCTCTTGTTTATGATTTCAACCTTTGCAGTTTCATTTTCTTCACTATTAGTTCGGCTCAGAGCGTAACTTTTCTGATGGAGGAAGGTAAGTCACATGGTTGTCTCTATGTAGATTTCTACCTGGTCTAGAATGCTTCAATGTATTGCATTAAATGTAGATAAGAAGGTGTCATTATCAGGTCAAGTCGCAGGTCAGATCTGTGAAGAGATGACCCTGCTCACAAAATAAACAATAACTGTGGAACATTCTAAACAATAACATCTCCAAGGATCCAAGCCGGTGTCCTACCTTACACCACAAAGGTTACGCAATCCACGTTTAATGTTACACAACAGATCAATGCTACAGCCTTATCGCCGCCACAAGGACACTGTCAGCATGTGTCAGTTTCTATATTTGTACCTGTGTAAACACAAAGCAGCCAGGTGCCAATAAGAGGAGCGAAAGTCTGTCCGGGTTTGGTCAACAGCGCCACCATCCCAAAGAGGAGCGCGGAGGTGGCCTGCTGCCGTCTGTGGAGAACAAAGTCTTCATCTACAAGATCGGAGATGACCAGCTTCAACAGTTTACAGGTTCCCTCTGTAAACACGCGATTACTGCGGGGAAGATAATAAAAAGAAAAGAGACAATATTATGTAGTAGATAAACCTATGTCATGTCAGTCATTATTTCATTTTTGCACTGTTTCCCCTTACGACCTCTCGTATGCAGCTGAGATATATTTGTATTACTATATTTAAATATTTTTTACTAGTATACGTACATTTATGTTGCATTTTCCTACTTAGAGTTATTTATACCATTAATACTTTTCCTTGGTGTTGTTATAATAAAATGATGTGTGAGCTACTGTGTCCATATAATTTCCTTTGTGGATCAATAAAGTTTGTCTATAACATCTAACAAAAACTAAGCCAACTTACACTAAAATGTGAGCTTTCAGGGTGCGTTCACACTTGTAGAAACACCACATTAAAATGAGAACTGAACTGACTAAGCCCGGACTAATTAAACAGAATTAAACTGGCTCAAACAAGTACATGTATGAACGCACCTTGAAACATCACATGACAGAAACAGTTGATATTAAAGTGGCTTTTAGGTTGAAGAAGTGATTCAGTTTTCTTTTGTGGACAAAAGTAAACCTACAGTCTGACTAACACAGGTCTTAACCATGTCATGTTGCAGGGCTCAACCAGGTTCTAACCATATTGTCGTCGATACTTAAGAGCTGAATAAAAACAGATCTAAAACAAGGATCAACCAAGATTTAGGACTTAAACGGCAAAAAACTATTGAGAACAACATAGAGAAGGCTTGGGTCCCAAACATAGTTTCTGTACAATAACTTGAAAACCAAATTCAAGGATTCATTTTGATGAACACAAGAACCTCTTTAAGACCATGAGAGGAAATTACAAATTAAACCAGGCTTTAAAAACAGCTATAAAAACATTTGCTTTGTTAATATTACACCATAAAAAGCAACTGAGTCTAGAATGTGAAGAAATACAACTGCACATTCAGACACCGCTAACAGAAAAATCAAATCATAATTTGTGTAATTTCCTATAATTTGACACTTGTGGTGGAGGCTTTTGAAAAACAAGGGGAGGTAGATTAGTAATTGTTACCTTTTCAAGCATAATCATCCTTACACAAAGTAGGTCTAAGCAGTATTTTGTATATTACGTGAATCTGAAACAATTTAAATGAGAGAGAAGTGCTTTGATTTGTGGGTTAATCCTGTCGTGATTGTTGTAAAAAGTAAATATTTTGATGAGGTGGTGATCATGTAGAACAGGTTAATATGAACACTTTAAGACCAAAATGACGAGGCTCACTACTACTGCAGTTACAGAAAGAGGTGACAGTTTTTCAATGCTAAGTGAATTACAACCAGATTCGATGGAGCCAGGAGTGCCCCCATGCTCACTTCCTATTTGGAACGTGGTGGCTAGGCTAAATCCATTTATATATACAGTCTATGGTGCTGGTGTATGCATATTTTCATACCTAGCAATAAAGATGCAGAGCAGGTATATGTGGTCAGCCCCTGCTAGTAGCATAGCCAGGCTAAGTCCCAGTTTGAGCATAAACAGCCAGCGAATAACCTGGTAAACCCCATAGCGCTGGCACAGTGTCAGGAAATACAAGTTGTTCAGATGAGGGGCAATGTAAGAGATGCCTGCAAAAGGAGCAAATAAACGCACAGAGCAATAAGCGTAGGGTAAAATAATAAGAACATGCAACATTCAGGGTTAAGTTAAGCAAACGTACATGGTACATTTGCTTACGATAGGCTAAAAAACTAGTCATGATTACACAAAATTGATTCTTGTGAGCTTTAAGCCATGTTATAATGTTCTTACCTCATCAAAAACATACAGACATGGAGTTGTGTTTTGTTTCATTCACACGGAGTAAGCCTTTACTATTAGTCTGTCTACTTATCTAAAGTTCAAAAATCTGTTTCACTATGTAGTTTTCAAATCAACAGCTACCTTTTCCCTTTTGGTCAGTAGAGATGGTCTATTCCAGGGCTAAAATTGTCTAAATGATCCTAGTGAAGGTGTATAGAATAGAGCCCTGCAGACCTGAGGGACCTGACGCAAAACAGTGCTGCGCGAGACAAATTTTTAAAGCTCACTGCAGGCGGGAGTGAGACTGCACAACGAGGGAGTAGGCGGGAGGGATGATAAAACTGCAGTCCTGCAAACTAAATATGAGTGTAAAGTGGATATTTTATTTGGCATTAATAAAAACATTTTAAGCAGCAGACGTCCCCCCTCCCTTACGCCGCGCAGAGAGCCCACCTTCCCGTACGCCGCGCGGAGAGCCCACCCATCCGTACGCCGCGTGGACAGTCCTCCTCGTCCCGTACGTCGCGCGGGCTATGCCACTAAACCAGAACTAAACCAGAACTAAACCAGAACTAAACCAGGACTAAACCAGGACTAAACCAGGACTAAACCAGGACTAAACCAGGACTAAACCAGGACTAAACCAGGGCTAAACCAGGGCTAAAACCAGGGCTAAAACCAGGGTTAAACCAGGGTTAAAACCAGGACTAACCCACTGTGCCTCCCCCCATATGCAGCCCAATTTCTTTCGCTTCTCTGTGTTTTATACAGCTTAAGAAAGCAAAGGTTCCCATCCTACGGGACGTGCGGGCGGGTGCAGGACAAAATATCACAGATGCGGGCGGGAGTGGGACTGAAAATTACCATTTTTTGCGGGAGCGGGAATCCACAGTGCAGGAGTGGGACTGAAAAATCTGTCCCGTGCAGACCTCTAGTATTGAGTTTAAAAACACAGAGGAGCACTTCCTGTATTGCCACGTGACATCACAAGTTGAGTGTTTTCTGTTTGGGATAAGAAATCAGCCTAAATTTGCAGAGTTTGTGTGTTGAAGATGTGTGAATGAAACAAAACACAACTCAAGGTCTGTTTATGATGAGGACAACATTATAATATAGATCAGAAAATTGCGTAATCAATAGAACGTAAACCTGGATCAAACTATGACTGCATGGATATGACATTGAGCTTTGGCTAAAATATTTAACTTTTCAGCCAACTTAGGTTTCAATTAAGCCAATTTAATTATAATTTAATTTAAGCAATTTCTCAATGTACATTTGCTTAAAAATGTGCACCTTGAAATAAAAGCATGTAGGGTTCATGTAATGGATTATGGCTCCTATTGACTTCACTTGCACTAAAATTGACATACTTCTCCATTACATTTTCACATAATGAGGCCCATAAAGTTCCCTAAAAATGTAAACTATCTCGTGCAGAGAAGATTGTAACTTGTTTTTAGGGAACTTTAGGGGCTTCATAAAAATGTGACTCAAGTTGTAACAATTTTTATCTGATCTTACCGAGCAGTATTGAACCTGTCGAGGCAGAAATATTATCAGATAAAAGGTGCTCCAAGAAGAGGGGGAAGAAATTACTGTTAAAATGGCAGTGAAAAACCTGGAAAAGAGGAAATATACACATTGTTAATTTGTCAAGCATTTTTTGATTAATAATACAAACAAAAATTACCTGAATAAGGTTCATTGACACAAACCATAAAAAGTTTTTGTGTCTGGAAAGCTGCCTCAGGTATTGCCCCACAGTGACAGGTTTCTCTGGCTGGTTATGGGGAGAATTCACACTTAACCTGGGAGACAAAATAAAGAATTTAAACACAAAAGTTAAAAGGTGCAGGATGTAATTTTTGGGCTGCAGGTCTGTCACCTGCCTTTTTATATTGATATGTCATTGCTCTGCCAAGAATGTTTCACAGTAACAACTGTACCTTACATTTATTCAATTACAGGTGGTTTTATAGTTCAAAAATGCCTAGAAAAAACAGGCGTTCGGACTTTGAGCAGGGTAGTCTCTCCACAGATCTAACCTGTAACTTGCTCTGGTTTGGTTCCTCCATTATGATTCAAATGTTTAATATCACACTGTGAAACATTCTAGACAAAGCAATAACGTCTCCATGGAGAAAAGCGTTTGATAGACCCTCCACCAACAAAGTTACACAATGCACCTTTAGAGCAACAAAATAATATAAATACAGAAAATGTAACGCACTCATTTAGTGTTTGGGTCTCATCTTGTCTTGGTCGGATTTCATTTTGAAAACGGTGACGCAACAATCGGGACACAAAGAAAAATCCCAGCACAGAAAATGTTGCCAAGGCCACACAAAACAGTCTGAAAGAGTAGAAGTCTTCTTTGTCCCAGAATGAATAGGAGAGAAACACAGAAATTGACCCGAGCGCGCTGAAGACGGAGCAGTGGAAGTTGAGTCTATTCCGGTCGGAGGCGGACACGGCCAGATCGGCTAAGAGGGCGCTGTGATGGAGGTCAACCATGGTGAGGAAGCCGTCGTAAAGGCACAAGCACAGCAAGAACTGGAGACCGGGTCGGGCCCACGCCACCCAGAACGCCAAGAAGGACAGAGCGAAGAGGGGGCCATTTCTGGAGAGGGCTTTGAGGCGCTTTAAAACGACTTCTGGGGATGTTATCTGAGAGCCTGACCTGTGGAAGGGAAATATGTGCATTAATAAATAACAATAACTTTATTTAAAGATGAGATCAAAACAACTCAACAGTGGATTGGGACTGTTCATTTTACTAATATATAAGTTTATAAGTTCTCCACAGTTTTTTTGTTTTTAGTTTTTCTTGCCAAGGAGGGTCTAAAGATGGGGGGCACCCTGGGACAGTCCTCCATTTACTTGATTAATCTGTTTTTCTGTTGTTGGCCCATGACTGCGTCATAGTTTGATTTTCTAACTTACAATTTTTACAATTTTGTCAAGCCTTGGCGCAATTGCTGTTCCGATGGCTATATAAAAAAAAAAAAAGTTGAATCAAACTTAGACTAAGACTGATCTGCAATGCTGTAAAGAATTACTATAAAAACATAATTGTATTTAAATATTTAAAACACTGGGATACGTGTTCAATGTTGAGCTAAATGAGATAAAGATTTTCCAACTCAGACAGCAATGAACTAAAGGTATGTGAGCTATGCAGGTTCACACAACAGAAAATATGTCTTCATTTCTTTTTCTTCACTGTACGCACAATATTTGAATAATATTATGACAACTGGATGTGAGCAGTTTTGTTTACTAAACATCATAAGACAGTCTAAATTTAAATAAGAAGAAGAAGAAAAAAAACTATAAATAAATAGTTTAAATACTTACTGGGGAGAGCTGAGGAAGGAGTGGTCACTCAACCAGCCAAAGAGCGGGTCATTTACACTGTTCCATATTAAGAAAATCGCCTGAAAAACAAAAAAAAAATCTAAGTTAGTAACCTTTGCTTTTGTATAACTTTAGTGCTGCTTATAAGACATACTCTACAAAGACAGTTTTTTTTAAATTCATTCACATGGTGCATGTACAGTCATTTCACTACAAATTATTACTGCACTGCACATACACGGTCATGGTTCAGGTCTGTGGACAATTTTGGGCTCGCATTTTATATTTATTTTTCCACTGGTCATGAGCTATTCTGCCATACGCTGGAGGCCAAACCGGTTTTACCTCCACTAATGTAAACAAATACAAGCCCTACTGTTATTGTAACTTTGTGTTTGTATAGATAATGTTAAAATGTACCCCTGTACAGATATATTGTAAAGCTGCTCTTGAGTCAAAACATGTCTACTGCTTGCTGTCTGTTTCCAATTAAATTACCAGTCAAAAGTTTGGAGTCAGTTTTTCATGTATGGTTCTTGTTTATTCCCATGATTATATTACATATTTACATTGCAGATTCTCAGTGAAGGCATCAAAACTATGAATGACATGTATGGAATGTAGTAAACAAAAAACAAACGCAAAACTTTTAGATTTTAGAACTTTAAACATAGCCACCCTTTGCTTTGATCACTACTCTGCACTTTCAGCATTTCCTGACCCTGTGAAAACCAATTAAAACCATTTTAGGAACTTCATCAAAGGGGGGGTACTTTGAGGAATATGATTATAAAAAGGATAAATAATGCATTTTGTTGAGTTATTTAACTTTTCTTTGCTACATAATTCCATATATCTTGCATCATATATTGAATGTCTTCTGTATGTATCTAAAATGTAGAAAGTAAACATAATGAAAGTGGTAGTGTATAAAGTGTTTTATTGTTAGCCAACTAGTTGTTATCTTTACTGTCATGGCTGGTCTCTGAGAGGTGTGAAATGTGCATGCTCAGAATGCATAAAGTAAGTGAGGAATAACTTTGGACCACTGCAAACTGTTTCAAATGAAGTAGTTCTGCTTACAAGAATGTAAAAATCTGGTACAATGGCCTTAAAGGGACCACACTGCACACATTTTTTATCTATTATGATGTTGTTTCCTCATTAAAAACAAACTCAGAGTTTTGTTTTGTTTCTCGCACATGTTTAACAAATAAATCCTGCATATTTACACTAAGTTCTTCTCTCAAAGAGGAAACAATCTGTGATGCCAAGTGCTATGACAGGAAGTGCTCCACTGTGGTTTTAAACTCTACACACCTTCTGGAGAAGTAGACAGAGTAATAATAAAAGGGTTACATAAACGTATGTGAATGAAACAGAGCACAAATCTTGTTATGTTTTAGACCAAGTAACAACATTATAACAAGACTAAAAACTCACAAGAGTCTGTTTTTATTTAAACTTCCTATATTTTGCTAAACTAAGTGGATAAATAAAGATATGCTTACCTCTCCCACCCAGAAGGACACTTTATCAATCTTGTAGACTGATACAAAAGTCTCCACGTAGTACAATAGAAAAACATTGTGCAGTATAGAGATGAACAGGGCCAAAGAGCCATACAGCACTGAAGTAGAGAAAACTCCTGTGAAGAAGCTCCAGAGGCTCCTGCCCATTCTTCTTTCCGTCTCTTCACTCCCTGGTTTCTCTGAGCCACAGTGAAACCATCTCAACACCAGCACAATCGCCACTTCATAACCTGACAAAACAAATTAGGACAATTTAACATCAAGAACAACTGATCCTTTGCAGCAGATATCATCACCAGTCCTTTGCGTGACACTATCTGGAGGTTCTACTCAGTTTGAAGCTCTATTACTCCATTTAGAGTTAAATTTGAGCTTTGTTTTAACACAATCTGGTCATAAAGAATTGACTCAGTTGGAAGTACAACAGGTCACCTGCTTTGTGTGCAAATCAGCAAATCTTTCACACATCAAATTACAGTCACAAGTTAGGTAGCATTAGCCAACAGTTTTAGTCACTCTCACCCTTTTTGTTGGAAATCAAACCCCTAAATGTATTAATCACATTTTGTATTGTTTCTAGAGTTTTCAGACAATCTAAAAGTTCATTTTATTATGTTTTAAAGTGTCCATGTGCTAGTTCTGATGGCATGAGGTGTTTCTTTGACATGGTAGAAGTAAAATGATCCTGAATTTCAAGTCACAGAAGTTCAAACGACGGTGAAAAGTGAAACCAGGGAAAAAATAAGAAGCACAACTAAATTAAACACAATAATAATAGAATGATAGATATTTGTTGATATTAAAACATTACAATATGGTTGTGTTCACACTCCTGACTTCATCTTAATTTAGTTTGGAGGTGAACCAGGTTTTGTTCTAGTCCAATCCTTAATTAAGTTCAAGTTAAGTTTAATTCCTGGTTTAGTTCTGGGTTAAGTCACAAATAATTTGAATGCAGTGCGTACGTAAGTGTGAACAATGACTAAGCAAACCTGTGGTTGGAAAATGTTCAACACATATTTCAGTAATCACAAACAATTATCAGTCACAACAATATAAATACTTTCATTACCGCCAACCATTTAATCTTGGCCCATTCCCAGGTTGAGTGCTCTAATTTAGAAGGGTACTTTCGAATAACTGAGGTTTCTATTATTTTACTCCTGGTGTCAAAATACAGGATATTAAAAGTGTGGCATAATACAGTGTTAGATATTATTAGATTTTGGGTGTGCGAGAACAAACTAGGACACAAAGCTTTATTAATTTTAAGGTAATTATATCAAATGATCTAGGTGCGTTAGGTTTTATGTCAGATGCACTCCAAGACAACCTTTACTAGTATATATAGTGCATATTTTCTTTTGATAATATGCAAAATTTTAGTATTGTTTAAAATGAACAACAAACTTGCATTATCTTTCAAACAAGAGTATAAAGTGATCTGCAGTGTCTGAGTAATTATATACATTTTTTTGATTCTTTAAAAGGTGCACTATGTAAAACTGAATAGGCTGTTCGTCATCTACTTGCATCTGTGAAAATGTTATTGTGTAATTGTGTAATGTATTTCCAGAGTACAGCTTTAAACTTATCTATCTAGCTTTTATGTCATTACATTTTTTACTGCTCAGGGAATGCCTTGAAAAACATGCATTCTGAGTGTCAGTGGGGCCGCCTCTCCACAGATCTGAGCAGTAACTTGGCCAGCTTATCTCCATGGATATAGAGAGGTTTACTGTAATTCCATACTGAGGCACATTTCCAGACAAAGCAATAACAGCTCCATGGAAACAAGCATATCCTTCACCAGAAAGTTACCTAGTCCACCTCATCTAATACATTTAACAGATGTGTTTTGGCACGTTTCTGTGAACCCCGACACAGTCATAAGATACATTTCCAGTTTTATTAGTTTTGCGCAGTCAGTCTTTGTCTGACTGTAACACTTTGAAGTCACAGCTGTGGCCCTCAAAACAGTAAGTGCCCTTGGGAGGCGAATCCAGAGCATACCAGAGGGGGTTACTTCATAGTTCCCCAAAGCAAAGCCACGTTCAATATGGTGAGCTTAGTCATAAAACTACAGCAACATGCTATGCGGAGGTGCAAAAAGGAGCAAATTATTACTCTTCTACATAATTACCAGGAGAAAATAGCACTATGCCAAGTACTGAGGAAATGCTCAAGTACTATCATGTAGTGGTTTGGATGCAAAAGATGTGATCCATGGATTTAAACTTTTTGTTAGGACAAAAGTTAGGATATTTTTGTTTTAAAATGGAAATTGCTACAGTAATAATCCTTCTTTTATCATTCTTTAACCACTGGATAGTCAGACAGAAAACATATTCAAGTTATTTCATACAAATTAGAAATTAGAAAAAAAAAAGAAAAACTTTTAACTGAGGTACAGGATCTCCTAACAAACATGAAAAAATGCATAGCACACTCAAATGGCCGATGTCCAAAAGCATTTTTTTACTTTTAAATAACGTTTCGGGAAAAAAAGCCTTTGTCAGTTATTTTTCTTGCTTTGGACCGCAGTACGTCAGAGCAGGAAAAGCAACAAAAATATCTGATGAAGGTTTTTTTTTTTTTTTTCCCCCCCGAAACGTTAAATAAATAAATAAAAAACCTTTTGGACATCAGCCATTTGAGTGTGCTATAAATTTTTTCTCTTTTGTCTTGCTGCTGCTTGCATTTGCACCTCTACAAGAATTTTGGTGTGCGTTTTTCTGTTTCTTTTCACATGATCTCCAAATGTCAACCTAAGCTTTTAACTTGCAATTATAAATGAGAGAGAACCAAAAGGAACTAAAATTATACTACGCCATACAAATAAAATCATAATGAGTAAACTGCTATGGAAACTACAGTTAGATAAACACTACCCAAAACTTTAAAACAAAAGTAACTAACTCAGAGTAGCCACTTCAAATGTTTTGATAGCCAACATATAGCTTTGAGATATAGCCCACAGTACTGTGACAATATAGGAAAGAGCATACCACTGTGTACCAGATAGACCTCAAACCTCCTGGGGTGTGACCAGGATCTACAAACAAAGCCCTGTCACATACAAGCGGCTGGTCCTGTGTGTTTTATTTTGGCATAGTTCATCGCAACATTCAGATACTGCACCTAAACAAGTGTGGGAGAGCAGATCGGAGACATCTATATTGGTCAAAGCTGCTTTCTTGGCTTTGGCTGGATGTCAAATGCACCTGTTGTGATCACTCCGTAAGCCAATGCACACCACAAACAAGTAACAGTCTAAAGTGGAATTAAGAAGCAAGAAGCAAGTACAATTTTGAGTTAATGAGAGAAAAAAAATAACCAAAATAGACTGGGCAATTATAATTTTAAACAGACAGAGACAAATCAAGTAGTACAAATGTTCCTACACATTAGAATATGCGAAAATGCAATCACTTTTGGAATTCCCAATTATAACTTACTTAGAATATGTTGAATTTCTAAAGAATAGTAAGTTCCTGCTTGAGAATCTACACACGAGTGAAAAATTAACCAGGATGGTGAGAAAGGGGAAGGGGACCAGTGGAGATAGCGGTTTTCCTGTTAGTAGTCAATAAGTTACCTTCTCAAAAAGCGTATAGTCCCATTATGAACTAAAATCAACAATAACACGGTTATATTTTGCTTTGTAGAAGTTAGCAGCTCCTAGCGTTAGCCAGCATTAGTGATCGCTTCAGATCCATGGATCGTTTACGTTTACGAGATAGCTTCTTATCAATTGAAAGCGCATCTACCAAATGACTCGGATTCCATCGACATCTCTGTATTTTAACCATATTATTGTTACATACCGTGAAAATCTACCGTTTTCCGGAGTACGAGGTCGTGTTGGTCTCGCAGTGGGAAGCTAACTTGTTGGATCCGCGAGTGAAACAGCGGCGTCTGGGTTTAGGAGCAAGTCCACGTCACGAGCCGCACGCTGACGTACGAGTCTCGTTTGAGACGGATTTTCTACAGATTTACAGTAATATCGCGAGAGGGCGACATCTGCCGAACATTTACTGTAAATTAAACAATAAATACATTAAATTAATGTATAAAAAATAAAAAATATATATAAAATATAAGATGATAAGATGATTGAATAAAAATAAATAAAGGGTGACATCTGCCGAGTACTTATTGTAAATTTAATAATAATAATAAATACATTAAATCAATACATATAGAAAAAAAATAATTAAAATGTAATAAGAAATAATTATGAAAATAAAATAAAGTAAATAAATAAAGAGCAACATCTACATACCGAGTACCGAGTATAATAAATAAGTAAATAAATAAATAATAATTAAAAGAAAAAGAGAAATTAATAGAAATAAACTAAGGGCGACATCTGTCGAGTATTTACTGTAAATAAAATAATAATATTAAATACATTAAATGAATGAATAAAAAAATAATAAAATAAATTAAAGTCAATACATAAATACATAAAATAGATAAATTAATAAAAATATAAAACAAATACATTAATTAAAAATAATCAAAATACAACATCTATCAAGTACTTATTGAATTAAAATTGGTATCAAAACTAAAATAAACAGAAGAGACTTGGAGAGCGAGTGCCTAATTCAATAATAAATTAAGCAATAATTTATGACATACAAATATTATTACTTGAGACCAACATGTACATATATATTCTTTTATATACAGTCTATACTTAGAACAAACTAAGATCATCCATCAGTTTGAAATGTACAGAAGTGTAATTGAAGATTCTGGGCCCTGGGCACAAACTGTCTTGGTACAGTACAACATGTTCTCTGATGATGAATTCACATTACACTTTTGGAGGGCCTCTTTCCTGAACTGGGCCCTGTGTGAAAAGTCAATTTGGACATGGTGAGGTTTTGTGACAGTAGCTCACAGCTTATGTTTGATAGAGGTACACACTTACCTTTGCAGTTTGATCCTTGCCATTGTGTCTGTCCCAAAGAAGGAAACATTTTACCCACATTCCCACTATACATTGGCTGGTTGACGAGTGAGCATATTTAAATTATTAAATATTGTTTTACATAAAAATAAATAAATAAATAAACAGATCTATTGAAGTAAAGGGGGTTCAAGTCATTCAGCATAAGACATGTTATTACAAGGGCTGTGTTTATTAGGCTAAATAAATAAATAAATTCAATTTGCATAAAAATTCTATTCCTAGTCCTTTCAAATCCCATTGTATTCAATAGGGGGCACTATTGCCTCACTGAGAATTTAAGTTCAATCCGTCAACCTACAATACTAAGACTTTTTTTCAATTATTTTTATTGTTCATACAGCTCATATTGTCATAAGCATTCATTCACCGTACGTTTTATTTTTTCAGTTATTGTTATTGATGCAATAGATTTCTGAGCGTGAGAGGTTTTAATTACAGATTCATTACACTGGTGAATATGGATTAGTTAATTGCCTATATATTTCACTGAACAGCTACTGCACAAATCTAATTTACACTTAATCTTTAGGCTGAGAGAGAGTGACTGGCCATGGGAGAGAGGAAGATGGAGAGAGGAGGAAGGAGAGAGAGAGATAAAGAGAGAGAGAAGAGGAGGAGGAGTGAGAACAGAGGCTGCAGCATTTACGACTCGTAACGCGAGACGAAGAGGACTCCCCCGACATGTTTGGCATTGAATAAAAACACAGGTAAATCTTTGTTTTATTATGTTATTTCTTTCATCCAAGACTCTCGTGGGTACTTTTTTCTTGCAAAGTGGTTGTCTTTATTGAGGTCAGCACGGCACGGCACTGCACGCTTTTGGTGCAGTCCAGGTCGGACAGGTGCACATGGCGGGAGCAGATGTTCGCACGTTTTAGCGCACATGACACAGTTGCGTTAATTTAGCAAAGTTTGGCAAGAGAAAGTAAACGCAAAGTGCTTTCATCAATTATTCAAACTGCAATACAAACTGTAATTGGGCACTTAAAATTGTTAACGAGTGTCTGCCAAGTAGCCAGGGTGTTTGATAAAGACTTTTAATAACGCTAATAAAGCACGCGCGTTTTTTCACTATGGCACACCGCGTTTTTCACTTTTGATGAAGATGAAGTAGTCTACACGCAAAATGGAAAGTGGTAGCCTACATCTGTGCAAGCAGCTCTGCACCAAGGAATACACTTCCTTTTGATTTGATATGGCAGAAAATTAACTCGGGTTACCAGCTATGGAAACTAGGTTAATAATTAGGTCAGTTGTGGATGTAGGCTATACCAGTGTCTCTCAAAGTTTTCACATGAAGTACCACCTAGAAAAAAAAATGCTTTGGGAGTAACATCAGTTTCAAATCAGCTCTATTCCAGGTCTAAACCAGGAATAAACCTGGTCTAAAGGAGGTCTAACCATTGATACTAATTCTAACCACGAAAAAACCTAAAGGAGGATAAAAACATAGATTAAATTGACTCTTCCAATACAAGATAGAAGCTTGTAGCCTGATTCATCAGCCGGTTTCACTTCGTAGAAACCATCTGACCTCGCAGCATTAGAATTCGTTCACTTGACAGTTGGTGGTACTTTTCTTTATTTAACCAATCACTGCTATTTGGTTGTGACGTTTGTAATGCTCCACTAATGGGGCAAACTGGTATATTAAGATTTTCCCAAATCCTGTAGGAAGAAGGGCAATAACGTCTTTCCCCTTGATAAAATTCACCAAACATTCTCTTTGTTCCGGCTTTAAATCTTGGGAATCGTTGCCAACACAGAATGTATGGCTCTTGCTGATTGGCTGGTGCCAGAACTCGCACTTCCGGGGTTTTTGCGAACCATCTAGTGTATTCTGATTCCTGACCTAGTCACTGGAGAGAAATGAAATTGACTGGAGGCACTAGATGGCACCAGACTGGATAAGAAGCTTGTGGACCACCAGATGTACTGTACATGCCCCACAGTTTGACTTGACTTTTACCCATCCCTTTTTACCCATTCACAAGATATATATCGTTTTTAATTGTCAATTGCTATGGCAACCGTACTAATTTGTCATCTTTCTGAAACCAATAGATAAAAAGCATACTGAACTTATTTACCAGTTTGCGTTTCATAGTTGTAAAAAAAACATTCCTTTGGCTAATTAGGTGGAATTAGCTCAATAAAATAACCAAAAGATTCATGAAACAGGTCAGTAAAAACAACATTTATTTATAGCTTAGACTTAGACAAACATTATTGATCCGAAGGTAAATTACTTGAAATAAATTGTAGACGAATGAGACTTGTTTGACACAGAATTACATTCGGTTGTGTACCTGTAACAAAGACTGTGATGATGTTTTTTTTTTGTTGTTGACATTTTGTTCTTGACAGACAGAGGTATTGAACTTTGCTTAAGATCGATAATACTCGGAAAAGAGTCTCTGGGTCTGAGTTGGACCGTCTGTAGCTGTTATTGTTTGATTGTCCTTGCTAGTTGCTTCACATCTCTCTTCATTCATGATGTATTAATAGTTGGGGGTCTGCCAAGCCATGTGTTTGTTTACCTTTCCTTGTGGAGTTTCCATCCTTTCATCAATGAAGCAACATTGTTTTTTTCAATGCCCTGTCTATGCATGTAAACAGAGCTGAAGGCAGATGAGTGGGGACAGTGAAGGTTAGAGGTGGGAAACAGCTGATGTTAAAGGTGCACTGTGTAACTTTTCTGGTGGAGGGTCCGTCACCTGCTTGTTTTGCTTGGAATGTTTCACAATATGATATTAAACAGCTGTACCATACATTTATTAAATTACAACAGACATTCTGACTCTAAGAGGAGTTGACTTTCCACAGATCTAACCTGTAAGTTGGTCTGGTTTGATCTCCATGAAGATAGAACGTTTAATGCCATATGGTGAAACATTCCAGAAAAAGCAATAACATCTCCACCATACATTTTACACTACATGTTCAGCTGTTAAATGATGTTCAGGCAATTAATTTTAAAATTTTACGAGAGGCTCGTGAGTATTCATGTATGGGTGCTTGGAGGGGACATTCTGGATAATTGCTGTTTTGTCACAAGAGAGAACATATTGGGTTTGGCTACATAGTGGCAGAGGTGGGACCATGTCTTTGTTTTGCAAGTCTCGAGTAAGTCTCAAGTCTTTGACTTCAAGTCTGAGTCAAGTCCCAACACAAAGACAGAAAGGTCCAAGTCAAGTTTCGAGTCACTGGCCCATAAGTCCAAGTCAAGTCCAAGTTGTCTGCTTTGAGCTTCAAGTCATTTCAAGTCTTTAAACCGAAGTATAAATTATAGTTTAGATTTTTGCGATTTATTTGAATTTTAAACTAAATTGTACTTAAAAAGTCATGGTATATTTATATAAGAGTATTTATACAGTTTGTAAGTTCATTTTTCCTTTTTAAATGTCTTGACAAGATTTTAGTGTGAATCATTATGGTTGGAATAATTCAGATTTAAGTGCTTCTAAAGTCTTCTCAATTCACAGGCCTTAAGTCTGAGTCAAACCCCAAGTCATCATCCTTCAAGTCCAAGTCGAGACCCAAGTTTTAGTCCATTTAGTCCAAGTCTCAAGTCCTAAAAATAGTGACTCAAGTCTGACTCGAGTCCAAGTCACGACTCTCAAGTCCCCACCTCTGCGTAGTGATCTCAAATTTAAAGGTGTAGGACTGATTTTGATGGTCTTAAAAACGTGAAAAATAGAACAAGTTCATTTTAAACTGTTTGCAATGATCCAGAATTAATATTATAAATCTAACAACAACTAGCTTTCTAATGGCACACTTCCTGATTATCGAACAGTAAAACTTTAAATGCCAAGAGCAGGCAGTTGACCTATTTTGATCTCAAGATCTTCTTAAACATATACCGTATCTGTGCAAATCTTGCTCAAATGGGAAAACAGACACAGGTACCTTTAATTGTCATCTAAAAGTGTGATAAAATAGCTGTTTTGTAGGGATTTTAATATTGTGATTTTCCACTGTACTCCTCTCCAATGCACTCCTCTCCACTGTACTCCTCTTCACTGATCAATTCCTGTCAGGCTGTGAGTGAGTGGTGAGTGGCTTTAACGTGAGATTGACCAATATACGTTTTTCATGGTCGATGCTGATTGTTCAGAAACCATAGCAACTGATGGCTGTTCATGTAGAGCCAGAAAAATATATAATTTGAAACTGCAACTTATCCAAAACCCAATTTCACTGCAAACCATAAGAGAGCTATGGAGTCACATTTTGTGCAATGCCTTGAAATTAAGCCAAATGTTCTTCCTTCAGTCAGGTAGTCAGCCCCAAACAACATATCGGCATATTTTGGAGATTTAAGTCTGACTAAAAAGCACAAATATCGGCTGCCTGTCTGCTAGGGCTGCATGCTTTTGAAAAAATATGCCTTTTTCTGACAAACATTGTGATTAGATTTGCAATTTATGTTTTAATATTCTGCTCTAAGTTCACATTTCACATCCAGGAAAAATAACAAAAAGACTGAAATATGAACTGGCATAATACGAAAAAATAAGAATCACATTTCAGAACATGTTGTAAATGGTAAATGGTTTAAAAGCAGATTTATATGTACATGACTAAACTACAGGGTTAGCAGTTTTTATGCAGACAGTTTATGAAGAAAACTGTGGTGCTTAAAAAATTGTAGCGTTTCATTCAAATTGAGATTTTGATTTGATTAACCAGGCATTATAAAGATACAAAGCAAGTACATGTTGTGATAAAATCAAATTGTGACCGTAGAAAATTGTCAATTGTTCTTGCCCTTGGAGAAAATGTCTGATACACTTTCTGGCATCAGACCCTAAACCTCCTTGCTGGGACGCTAACCACTTGAGTAGGACATCTTGCGGACGAAAATCTTGGCCAAATCAAGTATGCAAATTATGACACGCTAAGAGGCAGATGGCATAGCTGTTGCATACTTGGAAGAGAAAACCAAATACAGTGAAGAGTTATTATGATTGTGGGATTTCTTCTTTCTTTATCCCTTTATTAAGTGAGGGTTGCCACTGTGACTTAGCTGAATGGTGGATGCTGTTTCTGTTTTGGAGTTGGCATTGTGGGTAAAGTGCCTTGCTCGGGGGCATATTGGGGGGCATATTGGCAGTAGGGTTTGGTTTTAACTGGCAGTTGTCTGATTGGTGAGTGAATATTTAACTGGCTGTGTTGTAGGCATAAGTGGTTGAGCAGTTATACCCAGATGAGGGATGTAGGGACTAGGGACATGCTTTGACTGCAAGATTAAATGCAATTGAATCATAATCTCAATTTAAATCACAATTTAAATCACAAATCTGCAATTTTTAAATACCACAATTTCCCATACAAACAACAAAATATCTTGTCTTATTCTGCATAAAAACTGCTAACCTGGTAGTTTATATTTGTACAAACATGTTCTGAAATGTGATTCTTGTATTAGTTTGTCAGTTCATATGTCAGTATTTTTGTGAATTCTTCTGGACATGTTTAAAGGGCCCATGTTTTGCTATTTTCTGATCTCTATTATAATGTTGTTTCCTCCTCAAAAACAGACCTGGAGTTGTATTTTGTTTCATTCACACATGTTTAACACATAAACCCTGCATATTCCTGCATATTCATGCTGTGTTCTCTCTCAAACTAAAAGCATGCTTTTCCACCTTGTGATGTCATGTGGGAATACAGGAAGTAAGGTTGGGCGGTAATACAGTAT